GAGGAGGAGGAGGAGGAGGAGGAGGAGGAGGAGGGAGGGATTGGCCAAGATGACCCCCAAGTCCTGCCCTGGGGGCTGAGGCCTGCGCTGGGGAGAGGAGCTGGCAAGCAGAAAATAACCTAGCGGGGAATGCTAAACACAGTCCCAAACCCCTGAAGGCTAGAAAGGTTGGGGTGTGGCGCTGGGGGGCTGACAGCCCCCCAGGAGAGTTGTGAGTGTGGGTTATTTCTCAATTATCTTTTTTGTTGTTGTTGGTCGTGGGGCCTGAACTCTGGGCCTGGGCGCTGCCCCTCAGCTCTTCAGCTCCAGGCGAGCGCTCTACCACTTGAGCCACAGCGCCACTTCCTAGTTTTTCCTCAATTATTTGTTTGTTTTTGTGGAGTTGGAAAAACAAAAAGAGAGCCCAAGTAAAGAAAGGAACTTTTAAGGTTCCAGGAGGTAAAAAGCCTATCAGGCCACCTGTGCAAAGGCCCTGAGGTCACATCCTGCGAGGCAGGTGAGGCCAGTGGGGGGGGGAGGAGGGCAGCTTGCGGCTGGACCGGAGGAGCCTCGCCTCGGGGCCCCTGGGAGGTGAGACCTGCGTGGACTCAGGTGTGCCTGGTTGAGAGGCTGAGAGGGTGGGGACCAGGGTCCTGAGAGGAGGCGGTCAGACCAGGCCGGAGGAGAAGTAGGATTCTGGGTCTATGGGAAGTCCAGCCACAAGGCTAGCTGAAAGGGGTCAGAGGCGATGTGACCTGCGCAGACAAGGGGTGTCCCTTTTCCTGCTTTCCCCTGGGAGTGGGGGGACCCAGAGAAGTCAGAGTGGACCTGCGCTCATCTTTTTCAGACAGGAAGGGGTGCAGCCTGGGGTGCAGAGGCTCAGCTGTATGACCCCCCCCCCCGCATGCTGCGGCCGCATTTCTTCCCCTTTGAGCTATTTCCAACAATTTAGCATTTCATCCATTAGCTGCTGGGTCGTTTGTGCGAGATGCTGGGGGCGTGGCCACCCGCCGTGGGCGTGGCCCGAGGTGTAAGGTAGCTGGGTGCCTGCGGTTAGTGGTGATTGGTTGCGGCGTGGAGGGGCGTGGCCGGCAGCGAGGGCGTGGTCTCGTTGCGGGGCGTGGTTAACGGCGAGGGGCGTGTCTCGGTGACCGGCCTAGCCTGTGGGGAACGCTGGATTCTGTGCCCAGGCCCTCAAGTCCATTCAACGAAAAACGCGCTCAGGGACAGCGCCCAAGCTCCGAGTTCAAGCCCCAGGACCGGCAAAATGAACATAAAAAGCAAAATGGTAGCTGGGTGCCGGTGGCTCACGCCTGTCATCCTAGCTACTCAGGAGGCTGAGATCTGAGGATCGCGGTTCAAAGCCAGCCCGGGCAGAAAAGTCCCTGAGACTCTGATCTCCATTAAACCACTAGAAAACCGGAAGTGGCGCTGTGACTCAAGAGGGAGAGCGCCCACCTTGAGCTGAAGAGTTGAGGGATAGTGCCCAGGACCAGAGATCAAGCCCCACCACTGACCCCTTCTCCCCCCAAAAAAGCAAAATGGCATGTCATATCAACATTGTCATCAGAAAAATCTTCCTTAATAAATAAGGAAAAAGTACGCATCATGGGATAGGCAAGGGGTGATGATTCGCCCCAGCATTCAGGAGGCAGAGCCGGGAGGCCTCAAGCTCCAGGCCAGCCCTGTCTCAAATGATAGCATCTTTTTTCTTGTGTATGTCAATACTGGGTCTCGAACCCAGGGCCTGGTGCTCCGGCTTGGTTCTTGTGGTTCACGGTGGGTTCCATTTGTGGCTTTTTGTTGGTTCATTGGCAAAAAGAGAGTCTCACTCGCTTTCCTGCCTCGGATGGCTTCACACCGAGACCCTGAGACCTCAGGTCTTTGTTCAGGATCAGCTGCGAGGCCTGTGGCTGCTGAAGTGGGGAAGACCCTCCTAACCCTGGCCTCTTCCCAGGGGCTTGGGCTGGGTCCCAGGGCTTGTACAGATTACCACTGCGAGCCTCAGTTTCCCCTCCCTCTAGGAACTGGGACAATCGACAGCAGCCGCCTTGCAGATGCTTTGAGGCCTCTGTGTCCAAATCCGGCCTGGCCGCTGGAAGGGCTTTATAAATAGTATTTTGAAAGAATTACGAGACCACAGGGCGATCACATGACTTCTCCTAAAAAGGAAACAAAGTTCCCATCACGTGATCCCGTGTGGGTTAAAGAGCTGCCCCTGGAGGGCCGGCCTGGGGGCTGCTCCGAGCCTGGAAGTTTCTCTCCCTGTCCATTCTGTTCTTGTCGTTCCGTTCCCAGAACCTGAGGCTGAGCCGTTGGGGCGAACCCCGAAGCTTCCCTTCCTGGACTGGACATTCTCTCGCCCGTGAAGACCCCTCCGTGGGGGGTGTCCCTTCCCCCATCCTGGCCCATCCTATGTGGACCCTCGCCTCTCTTTCCTGCCTCAGTTTCCCGCTCTGGGAAGGCTAGGTTAGCCGAGTTGTGCACAGGACGACCATCCCCGTGGGGACCCCCCTCCTTCACCCCTCCAGCCGCTCAGTGTCGCGAGCCCCGGGGACCAGCTGGCCGCGCTGGCCTGGCCGCTCCCGGGCCTGGGAGGAGGGGTGGGAACAGGTTGTGTCCCGGGGCGGGGCG